ACTTCTTTAGTTTTATAAAAGTTGAATAGTTAATTTTTTTGTATTAAAGTTAGCCTTTGCTGTTTTCAATCAGAGGGGCTGACTCAAGCAATTGAACTTAACATTTCAACATCCACAAAAGTGAAAATAAGTATAAAGAAATCTAATTAAAACTTTGCATGATCTTGGGTATAAATTTAGACTCCTTATTTTTGTGAAGTTGGTGAAGTTTAAACGGTACAAAGACTTTTGGGACATGCTTCATGCACACACTCATCCCTTGACAAATCCACTCAGTGTTTTCAAATCCAGGAATGAATCATTTACTCTTTTGATTTCAATTCTTCATTTATTATATTCTCTATACTTTTTCTAACCCTACCTAAAATAAGTATAGTCCCAGCCCTATATGTCGATTTTATAATGCCTATGTGACACCTCAAAGCCAGCCATAGTTCTTGGTGGCCTAAGCTTTTGACTCTCTCTGGCCTTTGTGGCAGTGCAAGTCCTAGGAGTGCCAAAGCATTAAGGTGGAATTCTTGGCACCCTCACCCGATTGCCTTGCAGGCCTACATGTGATCTTTTCATGAGAATGCTTTGGAGCCCAAAACACTTAAAACAAATCTGCTCTATGTAATCACTCCTGCAAATGTTTGAATATCAACTGCCTGTCACACTTTCTTCAGACTCTTTTTGTCAGGTGTAAATAATCCTCATTTTCTCCCCCCCCACCCCTTTTCCTACATCTTATTTTCAAAGCTCTTTAGTCATCGTGACAGCTGTCCTCTGAGCTGTCTGCTAACTTCTCTGTCTTTCTTACTCCTTGTAGCCCTTTATTTGACACCCATGGGCCAACACCATTACCTGGTCTCTTCTCAGGGAGTGAGAGGGCCTTCAGTCCTGATGGGATCTCAGATATCCAGGGAGCAGGTCACCTGCCTTAAGGATAAGATCTGTCAAAAGGTGCCACTTTCTCTTCTCTTTGATACATAATCTCAGTCATGTTTTCATTTAATAAATACTTACTTCTGAAAACTAGAAGATATATTCATAAGTTGGGGCCTCTGCCTTTGACTCATAACACTGTTTCTGCCTCCAGGCCGACATTGTTCAAGAGTTACACAAGTGCACAGAAGTGTCCTACCCCTGACGTGTACTTGCCAAGGATGTCTGGAACAAGTCAGATCCTGTGAGTGAAGCACGTCTTGCTCCTTACAAAAGCATCCTCAAATGTCCTCCTTCTCCAGTTTTCTGTTCAGAATTAATGAATCCTTGAAAAGGTAGTCAAAGAACAGCTTTTCTCTTTTAAAAGAGAAATGGCATTCTTTGGTTATAAATCTTTAAGAGCCTATAATTGTCCCAGCATGCCCAACTAAAATCCCAACATTCAGGTGAATGGGACCAGTGTAGGTAATAAGAACACCCCTGAAATAATCACGGTAATCAGAAAATAAGGTTGATCTGTGCAAGCCTGTCCACCCCCAGGCTACTCGAGATGTGGTGGACAGACCAGTGCCTGTCTACACAGTTCGGTTTTCATCTGTGGCAAGATAAGTGTAGAAATGAGAATGTTAGAATCTCTATTGGAATCTGACAGAATAAATGAATTTAATAATAAAAAATTGAGCTTCATATTTTGTATGTTTTAGTTCTGCGTGTCAGATTTTCACGACTCATTTTTATTGTGTGTGTGTGTGTTTCCTTTTTTTACACAAGGTTAGTACATGGCAGATGGGATGGGCTCCTTCACCACAGACAGTTTGGGAAACTGTGGTCCACTATGAAGGATTGGCATGAGGGTTGATTTTGTGTTAACTTGAGCGGATCATGGGTGTGCCCAGGTATTTGGTTTATCTTTTGGGGGGATATGCCTGTAAAAGTGTATCCAATGGGATTAATACTGGAATCAGTGGACTTGGTAAAGCATATGGCCCTTCCCTGAGTGGGGGGACATGAATATATCTCTTGGGGACTTGCATAGAACAAAAGATGAAGGAAGGAAGAATTCACCCCCTTTTCTTGCTGGGTTGTCAGCTGGAACATCAGTGTTCTTCTGTCCTCAAACTGAGTCTTACACAGTGGACTGCCCAGGTTCTCAGCCCTTCAGACTTGGAGATGGCAGAGCATGGGAGTCTTAGCTTCCATATTATCTGAGCCCATTCTTCATTCTTCTGAATAAACTTCTTCATATATACAGGGTGTACATAAAGTTCATGAGCATATATATGTTTGTACATACACACACACACACACACACACAGGGTATGTCCAGGAAGTATCCAGCCACAAAGTCTGAAAGAGGCATTTGTTATATTGACAATGGCTGCACACTTTACTTTTTATAAATGAATAAATAAATAAGTAAATAAAGTAATGATAATATTAACTTTAATAAGTAACATATGAAATATATGTATACACACACATACAGAGGGTACCAGAAATGTATACAGTTTTCTTTTTGAGACAGAGTCTCACTTCGTTGTCCAGGCTACAGGGCCATGCTGTCTGAGCTCACGACAACCCCAAACTCCTGGGTTCAAGAGATCCCCTTGCTTCAGCCTACCAAGTAGCTGGGACCATAGGTGTCCACCACAATGCCCAGCCAAATTTTCTATTTTTAGTAGAGATGGGGATCTCGCTTTGCTTAGGCTGGTCTTCAAGTCTTGAGCTCAAGTGATCCTTCTGCCTGGGCCTCCCATAGTACTAGGATTACAGGTGTGAGTCACCATTCCTGGCCTGTGTACACGTTTTAAGAAAGGAAAAAAACTGTATTAAATTTGTAATATTCAAGTCATGTTTGACTTCTGGAATTATAAGATGTGCTCACTGTGACTTGTGTTCATCTTTTGTTATTGCTATATATTGAGTATTACAATTTTAATACAGTTTTTTCCTTTTCTCTGTATATTCTAGGCACATCTTATTGATTCTATTTCTCTGAAGATCCCTGACTAATACATTACAAGTGATTCAACATCCTGGAAGCACAACCAACACAAAATAGATCTGAGATGACAGAGACAGAAAGTTTAGAAAGAAACTCAGTGCTACAATATTACTGATGCCTTTTTATTTGTATTTATTTTTTTCTGGCTGGCTTTTATTGTCTATTCAATTTTTTTTATTGTATGGGATTCATTGAGGGTACAAAGAATTAGCTTACACTGATTCCATTTGTTAGATAAAGCCCCTCTTATAATTGTGTCCCACTCCCAAGAAGTGTGCCATACACCATGACCGCCATCTCCCTCCCTGCTCCTCTGTCCAGCTCCCTCATTCCCCCATCCATTAGCTCATCTACTGCCTTTATATATGAATTGAGTACAGTGGATTCTGACTTCTCCTGGAACACATGCTTCTTAGTAAACCATCACCGGTGCCTTTTAGATGATAGTATCTCAACCACCAGTAATGTAGCTTAATGATTCTATCAAAATCTGCTTAATAACATCAGTTACAATAGACCTGAGGAGATGTGAATATGTGTACTAACAAAGGGGTTGGACATGATGCCTCAACATGTCCACAAAAGTATCCCTTCTCTGAATGAAGCTAAAATATCTATTCTTCTCTCTTCTCCACTCAGACAACCTATGCTTTAGCTTCTAACACTATATACCATGAAATACATAGCATTGCTCACATACAGTCTTAGTATTCACAGTGCAGGTATATTGAAAATTTTTGATCAATTCCTTGGGCTGAAACAATAGAAAAAGTCATGAACGAGGCAAGGTTCTAAGGGATGTTGTCCCATGACTTCTGTGTAGCTTCAAGTTCACTGGCCTTTAATTTCTGCTGCCATGGAAACTGTCCTGAATAGCACCTCGTCTCAGTCATTTCCTGTGGGTAGAGTGACAGCATATTTAAGAAGAGTTACGCTGTCTCTGTTGCTGTCAATCAATATTTATTGGACTCTGCCAGGCTGTTGGGAGCCATGCTGGAAGCTCCTCACTGAGGTTGGCCCCCAGCTTGTATGAGGTAGACCTGAGATTGAGGAGGTCAGACAGGCAAGGAGAAGCAGCTCCAAACTACAGCTAAGAATTAAGGCGACTAATTCTCTAGAATGAAAGTCTTAATTATTGAAGTGCTCAGGTTTTGATAAAAATTTAAAAACACTCTAAGGTTCAAGGTATGAACTGTAGCAACCTATGTAACAGGATATGGCAGCTTATGTATCAACATATGTAGTGATCTTTGTAGCAACCTATGTAGCAACCTATGCAGCGAGATGTGTAGGCACCGGGACAGCAGGCTTGCAGAGAGGAAGTAGCGATTGACCAGGACAGAGGGCTTACAGAGACAGAGTGGCAGTTTTATGAAACATGCAAGCAGTCACTAGAGGTTAATGAACAGAGTTGGCAATTGGAAACTGATCAGCTGTGGAATTCCAGTGGTGGGGAGGCGGGGACGGGGGCGGCCTCAGGAGAGGTGAGCTTGTTCTCAATAAATAGCAGCTGCGGAGGTTGCTTGGCGCCTTTTCCCAGACCCTCGTGGGGAGGCCCACCTCCTGCAGGCTTCGAGCTTACAGTCCATTGTCCTGCCCGCGTCCTTGGTGACCATGATGGCACCAACAATCAGCCAAAGGAATTTAGGTTCCATCAGAAAGAATAACATTAGAATTATGTACTTGTAGAGTGCATGTGTTTGGCACATTCATTGTTTTCTTAATGTTCCTTATACTCTTTTCTACTGTTTGACCTTTTAGATTCTTATTCTATGAATATCCCTTTGTATTTCTGGAGACTTTGTTATTTACCAAGTGGTTACAGAACCACTCAGGGTAAAGTTTCCAGATCAGCTCCTTCTGTTGGGATTCATGTGTTAATTATGAATTATCTTCCCTGCCTCTTCATACCGTATTTCTGTACATGGCTGGTTTCCTGGGACAAAGCCATGGACCTTCTTTCCCCAAGGTTTCCTTTTCTGAACTTATATTGCAGCTTTTAAAATTTGCATATTTTTTGGTTCACTTATTTTCTCTGATTCTTCTCCCATGAAAAAATAAAAATTTAGAAGTGTTTGCTTCAGCAGCACACGCACTAAAATTAGAACAATACAGAGAAGACTAACACAGTCCCTTTGCTAGGATTACACACAAATGCGTGAAGTGTTTCATATTTTTCAGCCCTAAGAAAAGTGGAAACTTTCCATCTTTTGTGTTTATTAGGCTGGATTTGAAACACATTCTTCTTAGTAATGTATTACAAGAATGGAAAAAGAAGTATGCAATGTACTCAGTACTAATATGAAACCAATATATAAAAATTACATGCCCACACAAAAGGAAAACACAAGTATAGTCTGTGAAGGGGAAGGGGAGAGGAAGGAGAGGGGAGGGGAAGAAGGCAGGGCCATTGGCGGGGTCTCACCTAACTCACACAATGTGAGGGTGTTCAGCAAACCCCTGGGTGAGGGGCTAAACTACAACTTGAACTTTACCTTAGAAATGAAAACAATGTAACCTAAACATTTGTGCCCTCGTCTTAATATGAAATAAAAAAATAAAAAAATGAGAAAAGTTAAATAAAAACAGCACCAAAACTCAACGTCAGATTCTTCCCATACATTCCTCCTCCTGCCTAGAATTTTCTTTGCCTTACTAACTTTATGTTCTTGGTCCTGACCTTTCTGATTCTCTAAGAAGAGCTGGTTAAAGTGCCTTCTTCTCAATGAAGCTTTACCCCATTTCCTGACGTCTAGTTACTTACTCTGTCTCCGTTTCCATTACACTTAAAATATTTTTTGATCACAGCATTTAATCTATTGTATTTTTGTTTGTTTGTTTAAATGTCTTTATTTTTTCTCCGAGACCTTCCTTGAAATGGCTACATCTCATTTATCCTGACATCTGCTTTAAGCTCAGAGATTTGTATCAACACAGATATAATTATTGCAATGAATGAAACAATAAAATTTAAGATTTAACAAAGAAAATAAGTCCATTGTCTCTAACCTTGCTGTTTTGTTCCTTTTAGAGTAAAGTTACTTTGCATCTATAATCTTTTACTGCACAGACTGGAGTTAAAATATCACTGTTGTTGACCTTACATGTCAGCATATTGTATATACCCCCAACCAATATTAGTTTATATTAGGTCATATTAAGTCAGTTTATACTGTTGAATTAAAATTGATAACACTCACAAAATAAAGCCTAGATCCATCAAAGGGTCAAATGACCCCAATTTTTGGAAGAAAATAGTGACATTTGCATGAACTGTGAAATACCAGTGTTGTATCCAGAAAGCTTGATTGCCAATATCATGTTGTTGCATTTTAAATTTTGTGGGGAAATAAAGATTTGTGCAGTGGAGTAGAAAAGTTAATGTTTTGGAGCATTCTGCTTGTATCTGAATGGCTACACCCTTAGTTACTTCTCACAATATACTTATGGTGAGTTTTTTAACCTGAGTCTTCTTTTCTTTTTTCAAATGGAAAAATCGATAGAATAGGACTCACTGTGCATCACGCATTCATCTGTGTTAAGAACATTTTAATGACATGATTACATTTTCTGCTACAATTATTTTGTTGGCATCACCATTTTATTCTGACTATAATAGGAAAGGTAGAAAGTTTGAAGATTTTTTTTCTCATCTGTGAAAAGAATGTTTTCTTTTAGACAGAGATTGCTTGAACCACAGAGTTGGAGACAACACAGAAGAAAACACCTCCTTCCCGTGTATCTTGGCTTTTACCTAGGGGGCGCTGTTTCAAGGATGGTTTGGGCAGTCTACTAGAAAAATATTACTTATCAAAATTTCTTAAATGTCTTGTGTGTGGTTTCATCATTTTTCGTTAGGGTTTGTGATACTCTAACACAGGACTCACTCAAATATGGAATCTAAAAAAATTCTAAATTAATATAATGGGAAGTTATTAGCAATGTTGGCTTATTTATATGATTTTCACCTTTCACCTGGATAAGTTAACTTATTAAATGGCTTACTGATGAGAAGCAGAGCCATGAGTGGGGTGTGGGGTGTGTGGGGGGACATGGTGAGAATGAGACATTAAACACACAATAATCTGTTGCTTAGTTACTGAGCCATGCTGTTCCCATTGTATATCATTAGCTTTGGCATTTGCATTTGTAAGCTTACCTTTGTTCATTTTTCATAATAGTACTAAAATATACAGATCATTGCATTATAGTCAAATGGAATCAAAATCCAAAAAATTTCACCCTTTTCTTAAAAAAAATCCTAAAGTCATTCCAATAGTGTTTTAGCAAAATTTATAAACAGAGAAATGGCATTCACTATGTTTCA